GTCTTAAGGTTGAGGATCCGCGGTTGGAGGACTTATCCACTCTTTTGGTTTATTTAAAAGTAGGATATTATTATTTCTTCTTTTGTTATTAGTATTTAATAATGAACTTCTGGATTATGGATTTTGGTTAAGGGGTCCTTGAGTTACAGGATTCCCGAGTTGTAACCGTTTGGAAGTTATTAAGGGATTTACTATTTATTAGTTTCTTCAGCGTTTTATTTTATTCTTTATTTCTTTTTGTAATCTGTACTTGTTTAAATACTTTAATTGTTTTGATATTCCTTAATTTTGTGCGCGGATTTAATCAACCCGTGTTCCGAAATTAGGGGTATCACAGGCATACTTGGTCTATTTTCACTGTTTTACTTCCGCGTTTGTTTTCTTTTCACCGACTTTGTGTTTTATTTTTGCTTCCGCATTCCAGATCCGTTATCGGGTCAAATTTCGGGTCACATTGACATATCCGGGTTATGTAAATTCTGAACGTCGCAGTGTTATTATCCTTCCAATCTTTATTTTTAACTTGTTACTTTGGACTTAAATAGTATTTAACACAATTTTAATATTTGTTTTATTACCTTTTATCTATATATTTGTCTTTCAAATGCCAAAGAATATAGTGCAAATTTTATTAAAATAATTTCTTTTTATTTATCTCACCAAACATGATTGGTGTTAAAATTATAACGTCCTTTTTTTTTTTTTTTTTTTTCTCTCATTATTATCCTCCCCTTCCCTTTTTCATTTTTTTTTTTTTCCTTAATGTTTGACCAAGCATAGTCTAAAAAGTCATGTATTTCCTACTTATACAAAAAAAAAAAAAAAAAAAAAAAAGGAAGAAGAAGAAGAAGAAGAAGAAGAAAAGAAAAAGAAAAAAGAAACACGTCACATATGTTATTATCTCAATTTTCAACGGTCTCTTGGCCATAACCAGTAAATGCCAAATGGTACATGTACCTGGTGGGGGAACAAGCAGTCTGCAGCCGTGCCAAGGGGTCGGCACTTCAGAAGTGAAGTAGGATATTGCATTATTTATAAGTGAACGTACCGTCAAGAGTTAAGGTGCAGTTTGGTTGGAGATAAATGACAAGAGAAAAAAGAAAGGAATGTAATATATATATATATATATATATATATATTGTGTTTGGTATAAATTATTAAAAGAAAAAAAAAATGATACAATATGAGTAGGTTTTATTATCCTTCCAATCTTTGTTTTCAACTTGTTAATTTGGACTTGAATGGTATTTAACATAATTTTAATATTTGTTTTATCACCTTTTTATCTATATATTTGTCTTTCAAATGCCAAAGAATATAGTGAAAATTTCATTAAAATAATTTCTTTTTATTTATCTCACCAAACAGGATTGGTGTTAAAATTATCACGTCCTTTCTTTTTTTTCATTATTATCCTCCCCTTCCCTTCTTTTCCTTTTTTTTTTTTTTTTTTTTTTGATTTTTTTCTTTTCTTTTCTTTTTCCATGATGTTAGACCAAACATAGCATATTTGGTACTTATACAAAAAAATAAATAAATAAAATAAAAATTACGTCATATGTGTTATTATCTTAATTCTCAATGGTCTCTTGGCCAGAAACAGTAAATGCCAAATGGTACACATACCTGGTGGGAAACATGCAGTCTGCAGTCATGCCAAAAGGTCGGCACTTCAGTGAGAGTTGATTTTGGATCAATCTTAATGCTTTCAACTCTAAATTTATGAAAAATTATTAGGTGTTTCGGGACTATCATGATCCCGGCCATTAAAAAATGTTATTTAATTAAGGATAATGCTTGTGTCCAACTCAGATTTGATAAACCTGTTGATGTGGCCAAATAGAATTGTAACATGACAAAAGACCATTTAATAATGGTGGGGGAAATTGCAATCATGCCAAGGTGCCGGCTCTTCAGTTAGAGTTGATTTTGGATCAATCTTAATGCTATCAACTCTGAATTAATGAAAAATTATTAGGTGTCCTAGGACCAACATGATCCCAGCCATTAAAAAATGTTATTCAATTAAAAGATCAAGTAAAGTAGACATAGTAAATTGCAAGACGTCTCTTTATAGTCTTGACCAACAACTTAATAATTTCTCTCCTGAATTATAGAAAATCAACTACCCAAATTTTTAGGGTTTAGAAAGAGTTAGAGAGTCTTACATTATTGCATACACTACTGTACTGATACCAGACAAGTAAATCAATTGAAAGGTCTCCATCGTCACAAGAATCCTAAATTCTGACTATTCACGATAGGATTGAAATTATTTTTTCAAGATGCATGAATAAAAAGAAGCTGATAATACAATCTTGCTAAAAGATAACTCATAACTCTTAATACAATTAAGAACTGCTTAATAGCATATATTAATTTTTGTACCCTTCCACTCAGGCACGGTCATTGATCTGTTATATGTTGAGTGGGAGCAATTGCCCCCGCTTAATTTTTATTTTAGTATTACATTCAAGTGATTTTTTTTTTTTTTTTTTTTTAAAAATTATATACCTATGCTATTGCTCTCCCTTCCCTCTCCATAAATTCCTAGTTCCATCTATACTTTCAGTGCCAATTACTATTTTTATTTTTTAATGACATAATTGTCTCTAAGAATTATTTGGAAATTTTTTTCATCTCAAAAGTATTCTTATAATTCACTTTAAAGAGAAAATTGATTATTATTTTATTAATAAAATCAAATAGAGAGAAGAATATAAAAATGGAGTACGAATATCACATTATTACAATATTTTTTTTGCAAGAAGAGCAGCAGCAATGATAAAATTTCTATCTTATGCAAGAAGAGCCGTCCTTGTGAGACGTATGCAGTATCTCGGATTGCTGTTGCCCCTAGGCTTCACGTGCAAGTGGATGCGTAAAGCAGCAACAATGATAATGCTGTTGCTGATTTATGGCAAGACCCAGTGCAAAAGGATATATCTTTACTAATTTTTATCTTCTCCAGAATACAAATTAGTCGTGCTCACTTCATGTTCACCCCTAATTTAATTCACCTATACAAATTATTTATATATCTATAAATTGTTTATATCTTCTCCAGAATACAAATTATTCATATATCTATAAAATTGTTTTTGACAAAAAAAAGAGCAAATAAAATAGAAACAAAACCCACAAGTTTTACCTCATATACGCGGCTTTTTCTTCTCTGGTGTTGCACATACCTGTGCTGATCCCATCATATGTCTTCAACTGAAAATTTTCGAAAGCCTCAGAAACAGCTCCTACATGTGATGATGAAATGAATCACCCTGTAATAAGCTAAATTTACATTATTTTTTTTATTTTTTTCAAACAGTAAAACAATTTATAGATATATAAATAATGTAGAGGAAAAGCCCAACAAACTTGTCTTTCCAAATGAAGCTTAAGATCATAGACCAAGCCCTGTCCAACGTGAAGCTTAAGAAAACAGACGAAGCCCAAACAGTTGGGCCCAATTCAAACATAAAGGGTTTAAACTTTAAGGTAGTCGGTAGTAACGACTACAATTTGTTGGCTTGTTGCAAACACATCAAGCATTCACTCCAGCCCACGAAAAATCTTTTCTCTTCTAATCCTAGGAATTGCTTAAATTGTTCTCTTCTCTTTTTTTTGTGATAATAAATAAGAAATTGTATTACTCGGTATAAAATAAATGTCAAAAGACCCCAAACTCTATAGTCCTTTCAAAAAAAAAAAAAAAAATCAAAATTCTCATATGAAATCTACATAACAGTGTCATTATTGAAACTTGGCATATATCTATAATGTAGTAGCTAAGTTGTAGTGAAAGGGTTGTGAAATTACTCTCATGTTATGTTTGGCGGCACCGGCCACACATTGGATTTGAATTAATTTTTTTTCAATTTCAAATTCAAAACATTGATTTGATACTCCAAAACATAACATTAATAATTTGGTAACTTACTTGAAATTGGAAGACAAATTTCCAATTAAGAAAAAAATATTTAAATGAAAGATCTTAGCTATATTTTAGAACGAAGAAGTATCATTAGGCTACAACTCTTGGTGATATATTACAAGTCATTTCAGTTCCCTAGACATTTTTACTCTCCCAAATTAACTATATAGACCTTTAAATTTTAGAGGTTAGTTTTGGTATTGCAAAAAGACACAAACATTTAATGAATGTTTTTATTGATAACTAATGAGGAATGCTCTCAAGAAAACTCCCTCACTATGAACTCTTTATTTTAACAAATGAATTAAAAGAAGCATTAAATAATTTATTTAAATTTTTACAAATATCAAAAAATTATTTTAATTCAATAGTTAAATATAGAAAGTTCATGACTCCTCTCACCATAAAGCTCTCACGAGACTTGTGAGCAAAGGACTGCAAGGTTGGGCTTGACCCTTGAGGAGTTCCACCGGAGACTAGTTTAGGAGGTAACATTAATAAGGCATAAGCATCACATGACTTACATTGGTTTATTTTGAGGAGTTGCTGCTGCAACCAAACATATCCTAACCATCAAAAAACCAAAAGAAGTTGGAGACTTCTCATGCCGTTTCCAGAAACTCGGATACAAAAGGTATTACCTATAAATAATATTTTCTATATTGTTTTATGATTAGGGGTTTTGAACTAGAGCTGAATTCCATGTCCTTTCTGAAATGAAATCTTAATTCGATATATTTAGCTTCCTATATATATATATATATAATAGAGAGACAATTATATTGGTCATACACGTTGCTTCTTATTCTGTTAAAGGATGGGTGATTTCGAGGACTTCATGATACATGAATAAATGAATTCTATAAAAAGAGAACAAAAGTCTAGTTTTTGGAATTAAGCAAATTACACACATATATATATAAATTCCTCTGACTAAGAGGGACCAAGGCAAGACGATAACAAAGAGGGTCAACTGCTTACACACCTATATATATGTATATAAGGTCCATTAATATTCTCTGCACCTAATTATATATACGTATAAGGTCCATTAGTATTCTCTGCTAAGATGGGAAACATGGTCGACCGAAATGAGATACCTCCCGGAGAGGATGAAATGGAGGCGGAGGAGGAAGAGGAAGAACAGTTCACTTGTGAAATCTGTGTGGAGCAGTACTCGACAAGAAAATTTATATTTAAAAAGAAGAAGAGGTGCCATGATCACGGCCGATTCTGTATGGAGTGTATCTTCAAGTATATTGAACGAAAGCTGGATGACAACATCTCAAGGATCCCTTGTCCAGCTCCAGATTGTGAGGAGCTTTTCGACGCTCTCTCTTGCAGGCCCATTGTGCCTCACCACTTATTTCAGAAATGGTGCGACGTGCTGTGCCGATCAGCCATTCAAGGACTTGACACATGCTACTGCCCAAAACCCGACTGCTCCGCACTCATTATCAACGAGTGTGGAGAGAGGACGGTGATGAAAGCTAAGTGTCCGCAATGTAAGAACCACTTCTGTTTCAAGTGTAAGCATCCGTGGCATGCCGGCTATGGATGCCATGAGGTTGGAGAGACAACCCATCACAGTGACATCCAGTTTGGAAAGCTTGTTGACAGAAACAAATGGAAGAAATGTCCCGGTTGCGGATACTGCGTTGAGCGTGTTGCCGGTTGCCGTCAAGTAACATGCAGGTACTCTGTTTTTATATATGGACTTTTATATCAAGAATAATTACAAATACATGGAGAGTGTTTTTCCGAGGCTCTTTTTGTGTGTGATTATTACAGATACGTGGACTTATGCATCCATATTTATCATTTGATAGAGTCAAAGTTATGATTTTTTGAAACAATAAAGTTGACCAAAATGCTAGCGGTGACGTGAAGAAATACTATTCATTATCCAAATTAACTACTCTTACTATTTTTAGGTATCACTTTTATGCATATAGGTACACTTTTTGTACAGACCACGTATGCATAAACAAAAAGTGACACCTAAATGACATGGTATATATGTACAAAATATGGTACCTATATGCATGCATAAAAGTGATACATCTGTGCACAAAAATAGTATTTGTATGCACAAAAGTCGTACATGAAAATAATAAAGATAATTTAAGCATGAATGAACATTGTTTTTTCATATCATGTTAGCATTTTGGTCAAATTTATTTTTTCGAAATATCACCATCAAATGTTAAATATGAGTCCATAACACAATGTAATCGTAATAATTCTTACTATTTTTTCAAAAAAGTACATGACTATAAAAAGTTTTAATTTTGATTTCATGAATTTAAAAATTGCGTTCCAAAACTCCATTTGTTTGTAATTTTTCCTATATAACCTATATGTTTGCACCAACCCACAATTTTTTAAAAAAATTTATCCTTGGGATGTAGATGTGGGACGGAATTTTGTTACAAGTGTGGAACCGAGGGTTTTGATTGTCTGTGCTGTCACCGCACGGTTGCCATGGGGTTCTTCATGGACTACTTTGAATAAGAGGTATCAAACTTTATTATTCTTAATTTTATTGTTGGTTCGGTATTTGTATTCACATGTGTAACTTTCAAAGTTTACTCCTCTTAGCCATTTATCAAGTTGCTCTAGTTTTTATGTTGTTAGCTGACTATTGTATGTGAAAATTCAATGAATTTGGCGTGTAAACAATAATCTTTGTTCCTTCTGGAAACAAGGACAACTATGTGTTTGGTTTATGCAGGCCTAATTTACCTAGTTCGACTATGTGTTTGGTTGTGTGTTATTTATTACGTATACGAAAACCGACCATGTGCTTAGTTCCCTGTAATTATTACATTACCTTTTTATTTTTGCACTATTTCCTTTTTCATTGCAATATATGAAAACAGTTTTTTGGGTTTGCAAATGTTGATTCTAACATTTCTTTTTCCGACCACAAACTATCAAGTAAAACAGTAACAAGATTTTTACAGTTTTTCCTTTTAAGCTTGTTGATCTTTTATACATGGATTAGTCGAAGTGTGCGCAAACTTGTCCGGAGACTCACCATTACCATATATATATATTAGTAAACTAGAAATAAGTAAATTATTATTATTTTTTTTTTTTGGGTTAAATGCAAAAAAAAAAAACCCTAAATTATTAAGAAAATTATAACTAACTCCTTAAACTATTAAAATTTCAAAAAATCTCCTGAACTATACAAATTTGTTGGAGATCACTCAATCCGGCCACTGGCTATCCAAAAATGAGCGCGTGATTCTCACGCAATAGACAAACTGAATTTTTTGGACAATAATGCCCTCTCATATATGAAAATACCAAATTGTCCTATAACCACCACCACCGTTCCTCTCGCCATTACCATTACAATCAAAACCAAGAACGAGACCAACCACCACCAAAGCAATAGTGAACCTTAACCCAATTTCATGCAAACACGCACATATCTATATATATATATATATATATATATATATATACAAGGAATAGATCTGAAAAACATTGGGGTAAATTTTTGTATGGAGGTGGTGGTGCTGTTGTAGTGGCCACGACAGGGATTGAGGGAGGAGGAGATGGATCTAATGGAAGTCGTGGTGTTGTTGTGGCGATGGTGACGGGTCCACAGCCGTCCTTTCCATCGCCAACCGCAATCATTCGAAGCCAAGCTCGCAACCGCTCAATCCTGCCGGCGCCATCAAACCCAATCACGACCGAGTTTCTTCATAACAGCCCATCATCGGAATTGCAACTTCTTTAGTCGCTGAATCACTGCCATCCTAAACCAACCGTTTTCAGCAGTCGAGCACACCGTCATACGTGTTCCGAGCACCGCCGCAAGCTCACCGCCGAGCTTCGCCTCATCTGCCGACCTCTCGGTTCCAAGCTCGCTGCCCCCTCACAATCGACACCATCAAAGCCGAGGCTGCCCACTGCCCCAAGCTTTCCACGGCCGAGCCAACAGCCAAGCTCTCCACAGCCGGCTGATTCGTACCCGTCGTCCATCTCTACCAACCTCGCTGGTCGGAGCTCCACCATCCGAGTTCTCTGCCATCGTCTCCACCGGCCAATTTCTCCATAGCCGAGCCCTCCCTTGTTCGCCGGCCGCCGATTCAATCCAACTGAACTCACCGCCGCTGCACCACCGCCCCAAGCTTTCCACGGCCTAGCCAACAACCAAGCTTTCCCCCATCTCGATGGCTCCTTCCTAAAATGTATACATATATATTGTTTATATATAAAGGTAAATGAGACTTTTTATTTTTCCGGTTAAGTCAGTTGGCAAAATGGACTGAAATGCAATAAATTCATAAATTAGGAGTTTTTTTTTTTTTTTTTTTTTTTTTTTTTTTTTTTTTTTTTTTTTTTGTAATTCAGGGGTTAGTTGCAATTTGTCAATAGTTCAAGAAGATTTTTTTACATTTAACCCTTTTTTTTTTGGGATAATTTCACTGACACCCCCAGTAGTATGGCCAAATATTAATCTAAAACATCTTTCGAAAATAACTATCACTCACATAACAAACGTTTGCTCCGTTTTCCAGTCACACCCCAAAAGTTAGTTTACAGATGTGTCAGACCACTTTTTATATGTAAAAAGACATTTTTACCCTTTGACTTTAGTTTGACCCTGACTTTGGTATACCCTCATTTTTTTAATTTATTTTTTTACAAAATATCAGTATTAAAAGACAATATGGCCCCTCAAAAATTTGTAAATTTACAAATTATATTATATATACAGGTAGACATATATATATTCCTATATACACACACAGACATATATATATATATACACACACACACAAAAGCACAACACCACCACCAAATACAGTGGCGGAGTAGTCGTCGAATCCGACAAAGGCCGCTCATTCGCCGTCAAAGTCGACTCTCCCACCTTCCAAACCGATGTCTCCCTCGTCGCGACCTCATCACTCCGAATCCTCAGAAGTCCTCAAATCCACAACCCTCGCCCTAGATTTCTTTCGATTCTGCTCCTCATCCATCCCCATATTCCCCCGATCCGGTCCGATCTATAAATCCAAGACCCGGATCTGTCTCGCCGAATCTCCAAGACCCAGTCATCTCCCTCTTCGCAGAGCTCGTCTCCACTGGATCTGCCGCCACCGGATCTGTCTTGCCGGAGCCATCAACATTCTCACAGCCGTCTTCGCTCTCCATCTCCAAGCTCGCCGTTGCCGCTACTCCACCGCCGAGCCGAGCTCTTTACTGCCGAATTGGAGTTGTCATCTCTCCCGCTAATCCACTTGCTACCAAGTCCTGCGAATCCTCCTCTAGTCGCCCCTCGCCGGTTCTCTCAAACCCAGATAATCAGTATATATATAGTTCTCACTGCCGATTCAGTCCACCGAGCTCGGCTGTGGCCGACGAGCAAGGGGGCTTCAGACGGCGGCCGACAAGCAAAAGAAGCTTAGCTCGCTCACTCTCTCCCGGTGACAACACTCGTCCTCGTCGTCGCCGCCCTAAACGATGATGCCGCTTCTGTCGCCTGAAGTTTTTGCTGTGAACCACGCCACCACTTCCAACCCCCGCCTCAACCTCACCTGACAACAAAAATGGGTTTGGGTAATGCAACCACAGTCGTCGGCGGCACCACCACCACCATCACCCCATCGTCACCGACCACCAACCACCAATCTCTCTATACACTTTCTCTCTTTTCTACAACACACCACCCACCACCAAAAAAGCCTTAATTTTTGGAACCACCACCCACCACCACCACCACGACGGCCAACAGTTACATTTACCCAATTGTCGGGGTATAATTGTTTTTTAACTAATCTGATATTTTGAAATAAATGTTATTAAAAAAATAAGGGCAAAGTTGTCTTTTCACATGTTTTTAACGGAGGCTGTAACGGAAAATCAAAAATGGACCTAAGTGATAGTTATTTTCGAAAGATATTTTAGATTGATATTTGACCAAACTATTAGGAATGTCAGTAAAATTATCCCTTTTTTTTTTAATTACTCGGTCTCTCTTCAGCAGCTTAACTTTTTAAGAGTATAATTTTTATTTTTAATTTTTAATTTATTATAGTAGTAGGTAAATATCGTTGCCTGGCGAAACTGAGTACAGGTTAATCACTGCACGTTCGATTACTGGAAACTGATCAATCATAACAGCACTTAATTGGTGGTATTTTCCTCATCTTTTTGCCATAGTTGTCTCATTCAATTCCACCATCCCAAAATCCTGGTAGAGAGAGCAAGCATTTATACTCTTGTTGGCAACATCTGATGCTTGTGAAAGTCTTCCTTGGAGGGTCTTAAATCCAAAGACTGCAAGCTAGACTAATCCAATATATTTCTTAGCACTTTAAAGGGCATTATTTGCTTTTACTTTCAGGAATAATCTTCAACCAAGTACGATGCAACACAAAAAAAGAAAAAAAAAAAAAACATAAAACATAAAACAAAAAGTTCCATATAAAACCTCACAGAATCAACTGTTTGAAGCAAATAAGTCAGTTTTCACAACCCAACCCATCGAAGGTGGAGTTTCGAGTTTCAACTAAGAGAGTGCCTTGTAGCATACCATTGCACAACAGAAATAATATAAAATTGCTATTGTAAATAAAGCAAAACAGCAAAGGCTCAAAGGAAGAGAAGTTAGAAATCTTTATTGACTTTAAATTGGATTATTTATTCCCGATTCCATAACAAAAAAAACTTTGTATCATTTAGAATGGGCGCTTGTAGAATCGTCAACTGGATGCCAATATCGGTTGAAAAACCACAAGGAATCAGCTTCTACAGCATAACCATCTTGATTGCGATGCCAACTATAGTAAGAATGAGTTCGGTTTTTAATATCGAAAATGGCATGACCGAAACTAGCCTCACGGAAAGCTGAGTATTTTGGCTGTGGCTCCGTCATGCTGCACAGTAGAAAACGTTTGATTTACTTGTGTCAAACAACAGGAACTAATTGTTTCAAGGAAAGGCCAAAACTATAATACAAGTTAAATCTTACTTGGTTGCCAAGCCTTCAAGATTTCCACCATCACCAATGGTAATGTACACGGGCGCAGATTGATCACTTACAGGACTACAAATGCCATTTACAACGTTGTAAGCAACGTTGGATACACGTTCCTGTGACATATTTACATTAGTACGCAGAAATAGCACTATAATATCAACTTGTGCTTTGAAGCATAATAAAGAGAAGAAAAAGTGTACTTACCGATCGTTCATATGCGTGAACATGACCGGCAAACACAATGTCTACTTTGTATTGTACAAACCATGGCTCATACATAACTCTCATGGTTTCCCCTTCCATGTAATGATAGTTGTAGCTGTTGTACCATGGGGAATGCATTAAAACGATCAACCATGGTGTCTCACTCCTGTTTACTTTTGGGAACTCCTTCTCAAGCCATTTGTATTGAGGAGTGTATTTGCCTAAAATTCAAGTATATAGAAGAAAAAAATCTTGAAATGTATATAATGTTGACTAGAAGATCATAGCATTTTCCTTCCAATTTCCTTTTCTTTATTCTACTAGGCGTATTATCTGTCATTACTTGAAAGAAGAATACATATCATGAAAGGCTTTTACATTTTTTTTTATAAAGAGGAGGGGGGAAGAACTCAGAGCAAAAGAAAAGTGTATTAATCTAATATCTATTTTAGAGACAAAGTGCAAAAAAAACAAAAAAAAAAAAAAAAGGAAAGATGCATTACCGAAAAGCGAAGAATACCTCAATCATCATGCTAATTGAAATTGTCAAAAAAAAAACATGAATTTGTTTAGTGAGTTTCTATGATTTTTGAGTCAGCACACATTCACACAGTGGATATTTAAGCTATAATAAGGTTTTAGACTGATAATCTATTTAGGCATAAGTTCCACGGTACATATGCATGTGTCTGGAGTCATTATTCATGACAATGAAATATTGCAAATGCCTATAGACTTACCGTACGCCGAATAAGAAGACAAGACAATTATGTATGCTGAAGCCCTCTTGATTGAGTACCAAAAGGGAGCCGTGCTGTTTGATGCTTTATAAGGTACATGATACCTGTGAGTATAGGGCTTGAAGGGTTCAGTTTCACCCTGCAATAAAATCACCACTATTCTGTCACAACTTCATTTTTTTTTAGCACTAAACATTTACACTCCCTTTGCAAAGGAGGAGATCAATTTTGTGATCAGGAGCTTGGAAATTGCCACAGCAACCAAGAGGATCATGATTGTACAATAAAAGCACATGGTGAACAAAATTTGTCAAAGTTAGGAAGTTAATTACTTAGTAAATGGATTGGGGGATTAGACTTGGTAATACACATAAGAACTTCCAAGGAGCTACAATTTACTCCATGAGGGAAGAGACAATTATACTACTACCATCAGAAGTTGAGAAGAACCATGAAATCACACTTTAAAAACAGTGAGAAATATAAAATATTGGAATATTACTCTTCATCAGACCAATAAAACATGTCATGGGAAGCTTACAATTTCAGGGTCAAAATCAATCTCGTGATTTCCTGCAGTCCATATCCAAGGTTGATAGGCAGCACTTCTCTCCAAAAACCGTCCCCATGTATCCCACCTAACATTATCATGATTCGGATAGTTATCCGCGTAAGAGAGGTCCCCAACAAAGAGCACCGTTTTCCCTTTAGTTGGATTTAATTCATAATGAGTAAGTGTCTTGTTTGAATCATAACTTTGACCAAGATCCCCTGCAAAAAAATGATTGATAGAATCAAGACAGGATAAATGCAAAACACATCACACACAACGGCACAGCTTCTTATGGGAAGACGGGTAGCAAAATGTGTGCAGTTTTTTTATTTATAGAATTGTTGAAATTAAAATTAAGACTTAAATCCAGATTCCCTCCTCACCCCAAATGAGAAGCTCACAAAGTTAATCAGCAATGTCAAAAATACACATTTATCATTTCTAGTTAGAAATTTCTCTCGGAAAGAAATCCTATCCTCAGTAATTGATACATATTCATCCATCCAGTCAAGACTCTGGAAAAGCTTGATAGAATTGGAAACAGAAGTTTTCCTAGCAGGACTAAAAACCATTGAACCACAAAATGAAATCGAAAGCACACTTTATTTGTTAGCAAGACAAACAAATTCTATTAAATTGATATGATACATAATACTTCACCTATGAGACCAAACGTATATGGAACATCCGGGCCAACCTCAGGAGGAGTTGTAAACCAGAAAGTCCGCGCTGTATGCCCAATCCCAACTTCATAGTAATATTTGGTGTTATACTGCCAACAAAACCAATAATCAAATAATCTTTAACCTTGATTGTAATTCCTCAATTCTATCAAAAGTCTTCCCTAATTCCTTACTACTCTCATATATATAAACCATGAATGAAATGAAGCCAACAAAAATAGCATAAAAGCAGAGAAAATTTGTACAAAACAAATTATTCATAAAAGCAATGCCTATGAAACAATGACACAAAAGGGTTGAATAACTCACCTTCAAGTTGTTAATGGTGCAGTGATGAATGTATCCAGAAGTATAAGTATAGAATTTGTAGGTAACTAATTTGCCCTTTGCCATTTTCTTTTGATTGCTATTTTCACTCCAGTACACAACTGTACTTGACCCAGGTTCTTCCATAGTGACCCATGACACAATAATCCCCTTTCCCAGAAGATCTCCTTGGGTTATATGAACCTTGTTACAAATAACCCACCAGTCAAAATTCACACACACAACACACACATTAAATTAGAGATCATGAAAATTACATATATATATGTGTGTGTGTGAAAATTAACAAGACCCACGAAATGGGCAAACATATATTTGTAACTAAATTAATGAATTAAACTATGATAGGGGTGATAAAGAGAATAGTGAAAGCAAAATACCTGTTGAGGCGCATTATAGCCAGGAGGCACTTCGAAGACATCACTGTCGAGGGGCATATCAATAGTTTTCTCAACTTTCCTGACAAAAGTGCTTGTGATTCCTCCATTACACAACACTGCTGCGTGCAGCACCAAACCCAGAACAGCAAGAACAGACCAGGAAAATCCGAGCTCGCCCATGTTATCCACCCCCGACCTCGCTTAACCTATGCACACCCTATTACATATAAGTTATACACGAATTATATTTGCCTAGAAATAAGGGGAATATTCAAAAACTTATAGGAATATGCAATAAAATTGTCAACGGCATCGAACTCCAACAGCTAGTAGGATTGGGTTTCTTCTACAATGTTTTAGAATAACCGTGAATATATATATATATATATATATATATATATATATATATATAATTAAAGTAGAAGTTGACTTCAGAAGCCACCCATCGTTTGACTCGAACAAGGGGAAAAGAAGCGGATAAATTCCAGTAGGGCAAGACAATGACAATGAGGGCGCTTTCATGATGAGTTCGCAGTTTTGAGGGCACAAGGTCACCGGGAGCGTCCACAGTATGGACTTGCCCTTTCGTTAGTGTCATATTGACTAAGATTAGGTTTGGTAACAAATAAAATAAATAAATATATAATAAATTTAATACTGTAATAACAAAAACAACAACCACATTAATTATGACTAGTTGATAATGAGATTGAAAAAACATGACAGTTTTAACATTCAATTATATTTGGAGAATTGTGAGGTCAAAAATATAACTTAGAATTAAAATGATAATTCTCTACTTTATTTTTGAAAGAATAACAAAACTCAGATGTCAAACCATTCAAGTTATATATTTTCTTAGTTCCAAAATAAGTCACTTTTTTTTTTTTTTTTTTTGACTGTTCCAAAATAAGAGTCATACCTCAAAATCCAATACACTATTTTTTAAATATTCCTAATATAACCTTTGTCTTGAAATTATAAAAGTAATTAAAACTTCTAAAAAAGTTATATTGAACCCCACAATTCAAATTTGAAAGTCCGTTGCATTAAATGGTTGGTCGAAGACAAACAACTTTTATACCATACTCATAAATTGTTACAAGGACATATTAGAAAATTCATCTCATACTATTAAAAAAATAAAAAAAAATCATAAAAATTAACTCTCTTAAAAAGTTATATTCTCTAACGAAGGGAGTCTATATATATATATATATTATACGGTATCTGTTACTGAGACACTATGCTCCCATAGAGGACTTGGAACCTTTTTTATTATTCATTTAAAAGAGCTTAAACAAGTCCATCGTTCAACCTGACAGTGGTACAAAAAAAACTTAAAAAAAAAAAAAAAACTACAGTACATAATTTTACCTTGTTCATTCTACAATGACAATGGATAAGATAATTTAAACTTCGTTGAAGATCCTTTTAAGAGACAAAGTTGTTTCTTGATGATTAGACATAAAGTTTATTCATTGATTATTGCACTATGTGTTCAAGTCACTTTTGAGCAAAGAAATTTGGTGGCTACTATCAAGTAGGTTGTTCTTTTGTAATCTTTCACAAGGGGATAGTCAGTGCAAAAAAAACTCCCCGCTATTATTGATACAGTCAATATTAATTTCTGTGGTAAAAAATTATTTTATAGTATTAATTTGAAGTAATTAGATTCGTGCAATATAAAATGATAATAATATTCTCACTTTAATAAAATAAATTAATAACTATAAATATAAATCATGTTAAATAATTATTTTACCCACTTATCAAAAAATAAAAATAAAAAATTTGAGCACCTTGTACTTGGGCCATCTATATATATATAATATATTATATATGTCTCTGCGAAGGGGAAAGTACTGCACTACTACAGCAACGGCGACGGCGATGAGGATCGGCCAGCAACGGAGGAACGACGGTGAGCTTGGCTGGTTCGGATGGTCGTGGAAACGGAGGCTTCCCTTTTCGAAGCCTTCGAGAGACCCCACGGTGATTGGTCTTCGAAACGGGGAACAAGAATTTCGATGGCGGTAAAGAGGATGGCGACTCGCGATGAAGAGGCGGCTGTTGCTAACGAGCAAGGCAGTGCTTGGTGAGGAGGATCCCACGGTGAGCACTGATTTCCGGCGCTTTAGATGTTGATAAAGAAGGTGGTCTCTGTATTGCCCGCCGTTGACAAAGATGGAGCTGTTTCAGGTGAAGTTGTGTTATCCGGCACCGGTGAAGGTGAAGGGACCGTAGGCGGCGAGACGGCGGCGACAACAAATCGATTTTTCCCCCCAACTCCTCCAAATAGTGAAAATTTGGGATTTGGTATTTGATTTGATTACGATTTGATGTTCGTAATACACCGGGCGAAAATAGAGGGATTTGTGAATGAATAGGTTGGTTTGTTCATCGCATAAATAGAGGGATTTTGCGGCTCTGTTCAAGTGAGGTGAGAGAGTTGAAGAAATGGGGAGCTACAATTACAAGATGTTTGGGTACTTCAACCGGAAGCTCAAGATCAGAAAGGCTGAGCCACCGCCGGAGGTCAAAGAGGCGTTCGCGACTTAAAGAGTAGTATATAGTTTTCCCTCTGTTTTTGGGTGAATTAGATTTGTTTTCCCTCTGTTTTCTTTGTTTCTGGTTTTTGCTAGTATATGTTGGAACCTGCGAGAGAATCAGATGATACTGTAAGGGTAGATCCTTTAGATAATCTCAAGAAATACAGAGGAGGATATGATATCAGAGAAAAGCATTATTGGAGTGTAAGTTTCTCCCTCATTTTTATTGGAGTGCAAAGTCTCTCTCTCTCTCAAAATTGATTTTTGCCTACACTATATTGTGCAATCAACTATATTTACAGGTATATATGGATATGGCTTCTGTGTGGTACTTCTTGTTGTAATAGTAACAATAGAAAGTTGCAGAAGAAAAAGAAATGATCACATTGTCACAACAAGTACTGTTATCTCTGGTGACCTATTATTCTGGCAACACTCTTCACTATTCTGACAATGTAAATATTTGCTACTCCCTACCTTTCATATATAATAAGAGTATAATTAATAAATGTGCGCGCACACACAATCACACATATGGAATGTTGAATGCAAAGTGAGTGACCCTAATTGTCAAATTGCAGAACTGCATCTGGTTTAGTTCTTGGGGGAACAGTGAAATCCATTCAAGAGCAAAGACAGTGGTGGACATTCCGGCGAGCCGAGCCGTTTAGCCACTACCAGCCAAGCCGAGCCATATATGGGTAAGGGGCAAAATAGGAATTAAAAAGGGTAAAATAGGGTTTTTAGTCAAAAAATGGTCAGAAGGGCACCTTTTTTGAATTTTGTGGACTTATATGTACATTTTTAAAAAGTAAAAACTAGTTTTGCACAAACTCTATACATGATGGGATTTTTTTTTTTTTTTGCATTTAACCTTAAAATGAATGAGTGGATGAGTTTTGTGAATGATGTGAACGTGAGAAAATGGTTTGAAGATCCAATTGTTGTGTGGACAAAGAAAAAAGTAAGAGTATCCATCTCATTGCTGAAAAAATTAAAGATCATAGGTTTTTGTGCACCCCTCCTTATACGGGTCATGGTGGGTGAGGTGAGGCTGAAAAAACATATACTGATAATGTCATTCACCTCACCTACCACCCATCATGACCAATATCATCCTTCATATCAGGCTCTTGTGCACCCTCCTCAATTTTGGTGCACCCAAAGTGGACCGCACAAAATCCCAACACGATATTAATTCACACCACCCAGTTCAAACTGAACTACACGGAGTCCTAATACAATATTATATTGAATTACCAAAACGCCCAAAGCCGACAACAGAGTAAAAACACTTCAAAAGTTCCGTTGCCGGGACTTGAACCCGGGTCTCTCGGGTGAGAGCCGAGTATCCTAACCACCTAGACTACAACGGAATGTTGATGAGTGTAGGGCAGAAATCTATAAATATGTGTAAGGCTCACGCACCCATCAAGTACAACAATTGATCAAGATTTTTAAAGTTTCTAGTCATATGCTTGTTGATCTCTTATAAGTATAAAATATATATATATATATACACACAGACATATGCATATTTTTAAAAAAAATCTTTATTTAGTTATTTCCTCTAATGAGTTGTCTTCTCCCAAATATTATTAGAACCACATCTCGTTTCAATTAAGGCAAAGTGATCAACCATAACGTCATTCCATTTCATTATCATTGATAACCACATGCTTCCATTATTAACAGGGAATGGAAATTGAAAGAAGAATAAATAGATTTGGACTCCTATCTTTTGCCATTGTTATGTCATTCAATTCCACAATCCCCAAAAACCTGGAATAGAGACCAAGCATTCATACTCATGACTTACCTTCAGGGTCAGTTAAAATTCTTGGCAACAACAGCTCATGCTTGTTTAAAGAGCCATTCATTTACTTTCACCAACAATCTTCAACATAGTACAATGCAACAAAGAAATAGTCCCATATAAAAAAAACTCAAAAACAAGCAACTGTTTGAAGAAAACTGGTCAGTTTTTAACATTACCCAACTCGTCAAAGTTAATATCAGAAAGGACATTAAGAGAGTGCCTCATATTATTGACTAGTTGAACTGACAAAAATTGCTATTGCAAATTAGAAAAAAAACACAGCCAAGGCTCAAAGATAGACAATTTAGAAACTTTATTGACTTTAAATTGGGTATTCATTCCCGATTCCAGAACAAAAAAAGAAACATTCTCTCATCAAGATTTGGACATTGCAGAATCATCAATTGGATGCCAAAATCGGTTGAAAAACCACATGGAATCAGCTATCACAGCATATCCATCTTGATTGCGATGCCAACTATAGTAAGCATGAGTCCGGTTTTTAATATCAAAAATGGCATGACCAAAACTGGCCTCACGGAAAGCTGAGTATTTTGGCTGTGGCTCCGTCATGCTGCACACAGTAGAAAACATTTGATTTACTTGTGTCAGAGAACTGGAGGCAGTTGTGTTTTAAGAAGGCCAAAACTATATTATTAGTAAATCTTACTTGGTTGCCAAGCCTTCAATATTTCCCCCATCACCAATGGTGATGTACACGGGGGCAGATTGATCACTTACAGGACTACAAATGCCATTTACAACATTGTAAGCAATGTTGGATACACGGTGCTGTGACATATATATACATATTAGTATACAAATATGGCACTAGAATAACAACTTGTGCTTTGAAGCATAATAAAACAGAAGACAAAGTGCACACTTACCGACCGTTCATATGCGTGAACATGACCAGCAAACACAACATCAACTTTGTATTTTACAAACCATGATTCATACATAACTCTCATGGTTTCCCCTTCCATGTAATGATAGCTGTTGCTGTTGTACCATGGGGAATGCATTAAAACGATCAACCATGGTGTTTCGCTCCTGTTTACTTTTGGGAGCTCCTCCTCGAGCCATGTGTATTGAGGAGTGTATTTGCCTAAAATACAAATAGATTTAAAAATAATAATAATCAATGAATGTATATAGCATTTAATGTTAACTAGAAGCTTATAGCATTTTCCTTCCTATTTGCTTTCCTTCATTCTACTAGGCATATTATTTTTCATTACTTGAAAGAAGAATACAGAGCACAAAAGGCTTTTGCTTTTTCTATAAAGGAGAAAAGAAATATTGGGAATCTTACTTTTGAAAGAAGAATACAGATCACAAAAGGCTTTTACTTTTTCTATAAAATGGAAAAAATATTGGAAATGTTACTTTTTAACATTTATTTTAGAGGGGAAAATAAAACAGAATGTCTATTTTAGAGTGACAGTCTCTCGTTCCACAACAGTCTATTTTAGAAACCAAGTGTGTTTTGAAATGAAAGGAAAGATGCATTTCGAAAAGCAAAAATGCCTTGATCATCATGCTCATTAAAGATATTGAAAATAATATGAATTTTGTTTATTGAGTTTATACAATTTTGAGTAAAAGCACATTTATGCATTGGATATTTAAACCACTAACTAATGATAATTTATGTAGGCATAGGTTCCACTGCAGATATGCCTGTGTCTGGAGACATGATTAATGACAATGAAATATTGCAAATGCCAATATATACATACCATATGCCGAATATGAAGACAAGACAATGATGTATGCTGAAGCCCTCTTGATCGAGTACCAAAAGGGAGCTGTACTGTTTGATGCTTTATAGGGTACATGATACCTCTTAGTATAAGGCTTAAAGGGTTTTTTTTCACCCTGCAACAAAATCACCATTCTTCTGTCACGACATTTTTTTGAGAAACATTTCAAGGCTTAGCAAATAAACATATAAAGTTCGACTTATAAATTGCAAAAGCACCATCTTGGTAGCAAGTAGTAAATCCAGAGTCAATATTTCACCCAACAAAATTATTAGAATTTAATTGCCAAAGCATTGACCACTTACGCTCCCTTGGGTTGCAAAGGAGGAGATCAATTTCGTGATTGGGAGCATGGAAATTGTCGCAGCAACAAAGGGGATCATGATTGTACAATGAAAGAACATAGAGAATAAAATTTAACAAAGTTAGAAGTTAATTAGAAAAGTAATAAAATTGATGTAGTAATACAATTTATATCTTGCTAAGCAAGTTGAAAACTTGAAATAGCTTTACTTTGTTAAGGGATTGGGAGATAAGACTAGGTAACACACATAAGAACTTCTAAGGAGCTAAAATTCACTCCATGAAGGAAGAGTCAATTATAATACTACGATACAGAAGTCACATTAGACAATAAGAAATAAGAATCATTGAGAATGTTGCTCTTCATTAGACCAATAAAACATGTTATGGGAATCTTACAATTTCAGGGAGAAAATCGAGCTCATGATTTCCTGCAGTCCATATCCAAGGTTGATAGGCAACACTTCTCTCCACAAACCGTCCCCATGTATCCCACCTAACATTATCATGATTCGGATAGTGATCCGCGTAAGAGAGGTCCCCAACGTACAGTACTGTTTTCCCTTTAGTTGGATTTAATTCATAATGAGCAAGTGTCCTGTTTGAATCATAAGTTTGACCAAGATCCCCTGCAAGAAATGATTGATAAGTGTCAAGACAGGTTAAATGTAAAACATATTAAACACAAATATGCGCATTTTTTATTCAGAATTGTTGAAATAAAAATTAGGACTTAATTACAGATTACAGATTACTTCTCCACCCCAAATGACAACCTCATGAAATTAATCAGCCAGAAGTTTTGTCAAAAATACCCATTTATTAAAGTAAATGGGATGTTAAAAATTTCTACCCAGAAGGAAATTCTATCCTCAGTAATTGATACATATTCATCCATCCAGTCAAGTGTCTGGAAAAAGCCTGACAGAATTGGAAGCTGATGTTTTTTTCCTAGCAGGACAGAAGACCATTGAACCACAAACCGAATATGAAAAGCACACTTAATTTGTCAACAACAACAACAACAACAACAACAAAATCCATTAAAATTGATATGATGCATAACACTTTACCTATGAGACCAAATGTATATGGAACATCCGGACCAACCTCAGGAGGAGTTGTAAACCAGAAAATTCGCTCTGTATGTCCACTCCCAACTTGATAGTAATATTTGGTGTTATACTGCCAACAAAACCGATAATCGAATTAGCTTTAATCTTGATTAATTCCTCAATTCTGTCAAAAGTCTTCCCTAACTCCCAACTTATATCTCACATATACAAACTATGAATGAAAATGTAACCAACAAATAACAGGGGAATTATAATAAAGCAATGCCTATGAAACAAGGACACAAAAGGGTTGAATAGCTCACCTTCAAGTTCTTAATAGTACAGTGATGAATGTATCCAGAAGTATAAGTGTAGAATTTGTAGGTAACAAATTTGCCCTTTGCCATTTTCTTGTGATTGGTATTTTCTCTCCAGTACACAACTGTACTTGACCCAGGTTCTTCCATAGTGACCCATGACACAATAACCCCCTTTCCCAGAAGATCTCCTTGGGTTATATGAACCTAGTAGTTACAGATAACCCACCAGTCAAAATACACCAAACAATAAAATAAAAACAAAAATATATGAATAAGAACACACGCATTAAATTTGAGAGCATCAAAATTACATATTTGTAACTAAATTAATAAATTAAACTTTGATGGGTGACACAGAGAGGAGTGCAGAGTGCTATACCTGTTGAGGCGCATTATAGCCGGGAGGCACTTTGAAGACATCACTATCAAGCTGCATATCGACAGATTTCTCAACTTTCCTCACAAAAGTGCTTGTGATTCCTCCATTACACAACACCGCTGCGTTCAACGCCAAACCCAGAACAGCAAGAACAGACCATGAAAATCCCAGCTCGCCCATGTTATCCTGCGCACCCCCTTACACCGCTTAACCTACGCACACCCTATCTCCTTCACCAATCTCACATTCCCCACACACACACATACAAACACATATATACACGAATAGTAGTAATATTTTCCTACAAATAAGAGGAATATTCAACGCTCTATATGGACTAAACGGCAAGCAGGATTGAGTTTCTACATATGATTGAGAAACCCCCTTGAAAAAAATACTCCTTATATAAATAAGGAATAAAATAAAAATTGACTTGAGAAAGCAATAAAGACAGAAATCGCATAGTTTGACTCGAACAAGGCGAAAAAGAAGCGGATTAAATTAGACAATGATTAGCTTGCCGAAGGAACGAATGAACGAACGAACGAACTACCTTATTCTTATTATGTCTAAGACCACAATTTCATATTTTAGTCATTATAATAAAGGTATTTATTAAAAGAAGAGTAATGATATTTATACTGATTTATTTTATTAAATATTTTTGATTGGTTGGTAAATAGAGGATCTTATTTCTTTATTTGTGCAATTTGTTGTAAAATTGGTCGATCTATATCTTTTAATTAATTCATTTATACATAAATAAATAAATGAGACCCTCTATTTGCGTGTACTATACATAAATAATCAATTAAAAATATTCGTTGTAATAATTAAGTGCAACAAATCAATGTAAGTATCATTACTTTTCAAATAATAGTCAAACTTCTCAAGATCTGTTTTAATATATATATATATATATATATATATATATATATATATATTATTTGATAAATAAAAAATATAGTATATCACACACACTTCTACCTTTAGATTTCTTAAGTTGAGAAAATATGTTTCACCCTTAGTCCGAAAATTATTTTAGAAATAATAATCATTAACAATAATATGATAAAAAAAATTTGAATCAAAATAATAACTAACAAAATAGAGTTTTTTAAATTTTAATTCTTAAAAATTTTATGGACTCGCTGGAGGAGAAAAGACGTAGATCTTTTCTGAATTTTTAATGTTTTAGTAGCCTTTGGTGGTAAGTTCTATTTAATATTTGAGCTTTTTTATTTTCTTTTATTCTTTACTTTTAAAAGAGCTTAAACAAGTCCATCAACAGAGGGTTGAATCATGTGTTGTTTTTTTTTTTTTTTTTTCTCGGAGATAGAAATTTTTTTTTTTTTTTTTTTTTTTTTTTCATTGAAAAATCTTTAGAGTTGTTGACATTAATTTACGCAAAGGTTAAAAAACTTTTTCATAAGAAACTACAGAGTCTTACCTGATTGTCTGGTTCATTTTCTAACGACATGGAATAAGATTAAACAACCTATATAGTTTTAGTTCTTTTGATCCATTCAATTTTTACTTTTTTATATGAATTTAATCATAACAATTAAACATGTGGATCTCAAATCTCAATATAACATAACATCCTACCTTAATATAAGTTGATTCATTGATGAATAACACTGTGATCAAATAATTAAAAAAAAGACTTTTAAGACTACTAGGTTTAAAGTATCTATCAAGTAAGATTTTGACATTCAATCTTTAAAATGAATGTGCGGATGAGTTTTGTGAATGATGTGAAGTTGAGAAAGTGGACAGAGAAAAAGTAGAGTATGCCATTGCTGAAAAAAAGATAAGTAATAGCTTGAAAAAGATGACAAGTTGGGAAAAGGGATTGTGTAATGATGTGAGTCCAACACATTGACCAATATCATCCTTTAACCATGCAAACTGCTAGGTACTATAACTATTTATTGTCCCATCCCCAACTCAACAATTCATACTGGCCATCCATATGAATAGTAGTTTTTTTTTTTTTTGGAATGGAATGGTAAAACAAATATACTCATTTGTTAGTGCTCTAATTGAATCTTGCCGTAATATAATGGATTCATCAATTATGGTATCAGATCCTTAAAAAAAATGTAAGAACCGACTAATACGGCAAATCGTGAATTCGAATCCCTTCTCTCTTCTTTGAAAATAGAAAAGTTATACCTGGCAAAATGGCCCTTTGATGTCCATATGAATAGGTTGATGACATTTATGTGTGATAAATGAATTTTAATAATGCCTTTTAATTGTTGAATTCATAAGCTTTCACATAAGGGCATTTTAAGTATTTCAATTTAATTGTTGAATTCATAAACCTTCTCAATAAGGGCATTTTAAGTATTTCAGCCTTTAAATTGAAGAATGTTTTTTTTTTTTTTTAGCACCATGAGTGTGCATGGTTTATTTTTTATTTTTTATTTTTTTATATTTTTTTTTCACTTTGCCTTTTATTTAATTCAGTTTTCTTAAAAAAATTCAATATAAAAAACTGAATACAGATAATTTTTAATAGAATTAGAAAAAATTAATTAGTGTTTACTAAACAAATTTTTGTATGTTTTATTCTCAATCATGTTCTTAAAATGCTGGATCAAACAAACTTGGTATATTAAAGCTGTTCTGTCAAGTGTCAACTAAAATTGAAAAAAACAGCTAACTTTTTCGCAAGAAGTTAATGAAAGAGAAATAATTCATAACCTTCACAAGTAAAACAAAGTGCAAGATTAGTAAACGTGATAGGATCGTAGCCATCCAAATAATATGATGGACCCAAAGTGCAAGATTAGTATATGAGGCACAAAAATGAATGATAAACGCATAGAGTAGAACTTCAGAACAAATTTTCTCTCTCACGAATCGGTACAAATATTTAGAATGCGCAATCAACAAGAACATTGAAAAAAAAGCTAAACGTGTTTGTATCACATTTTGCAGAAATCTTTCAGCCAACTTACTAAACAGAGAAAAAAATTATTTCAATTATGTTAGGCATTTTTTTCTTTTACTTATATATGGTATGAATAAATTGCGTGACTCAAAGTCTCCACCTACCAAATTCAATTTCACATGCGTGATCATAAAGATAATGACAATTATACCCAAAAAAAAAAAAAAAAAAAAAAAGGGACAATGACAATTTTGCTTAGCTATTGAACCAGAGAACTCCCAATTTCAAGCCCTAGTTGGAGACAAGGACACTAAAGAGTAGACCCAATTAGTTGACTTGGGTTTTACCCAAGACACCAAATTTTATTGCTCTGACTTATGTGGATGGGCAAATTATGGATATCGGTGGCAATTAGGCTAACTACCAAGCCTAAACACCAGCCATAACCAAATAATTTTCATGAGGGGCTGTTTTAGTGGATATGGATAACAGTCCTTTGATAAATGACAAACTCAATTAACAGAGTTCACTTTTGTGTTTTTGGTAGTTGGAATTTCATGAAATTTGAATTTTGGAAATGAATTTTTATTATCTGAAATTTATTTAATTTAAAATCTGATTGAAATTTGGAAGTAAAATTTATAATGCATTCAATTCCTAATGTTCTTTTTGACAAGAAGGAATGAAAAGGAGTGGAAGGAAGATCAGGAGGATTAAAAAAATAATTCATTTCATTGGTAAATACTAAAAAGGAGGCATGGAGAGAAAGCAAAACCAGATGGATGAGTCCTTTCCCTTCACAAATTTTTTCTTTCTAAATATGGATGGAAGACATGAAAGTGAATTATACGGAATGATATTATAAAAGTTTTTGATTATAAAGTTTTCTTAATAATTAATACTATCTTTTAACTTATTTCATAGAAAACAATTTATTTTCTCCTCTACCATCCAAACAAACAAAATGACAAAATCTCTTCCTAAGAAATTTACCCAACGAAATTCAAATTCAAATTCCTTTTCTTTTTCCTTCCCTGTGAAAAAGAATCTAATTCACAACCTCGCCCATCGGTTGATTATTTCCTAATTAGTTGAGAAGAGTTCACCCATTTTTCATTTTTTTTTTTAATTAAAGTACATGACACCTCGGAGGTTTGGGACAAGGACATACATATACAAGTTGTCTTATTTTTTGACAAAGACACCCCTTGTGAGATTTGCAATCCAAACAAAACTTTAAAACATGTGAAAAGTTTACTTTACCCTTTACTATTTTATTAATTTTAATTGTAAAATATCAAAATAATTAAATGACCAAATTACACTTTTCATATATATATATGATCACACACCAGTCACCACCACCCGCTTGAAGAGCTCCACCACCGTTACCACCCTCTTCCCCTCCACCACCACCATACATTTTCCCCTTCACCACCACCACCACCAATCTAAATCTATCAATGAAGTATAAAGAAGAGAATTGTGAATCAAAGATAGGCACCGAAGAGGAGCTTTGCCATCGTCACCGCCACCTCCTTGGCCTTGCAGGTGATGCTCGCCGAAGTGTGCTCATCTGAACCTTATCGCCTCTGCCGTCCGAGTCCATCCGGTTTAAGTTTAGAGTTCTCCGTAACAGTATATCTGTGATACCCCTCGAATCCGAGACACGGGTTGATCAAGCCCAGGCCCAAACCCGAGGGATATCAGACAATTAATATTTAACGAACACAGATTACAAAACGAATTAAGAAAATAAATGCGGAAGGAATTCTAAAATAAAATCCTTAACCATATAATGCTTAAAATCCATTAGTCCAAAACCATTGAAAGTTTAAACAACTCGGGAATCCATCTCTAGTGGACCCCTAATAAGAATAACCAAACTGAAATGTCAACTGAAGAAATCCTTATCTAAATCATGAAGAAAGATCCTACGTCGTCGGAAGAATGAGTGACCGTCTCTGCTCAGCACGAACAAGTTCTCCAACCAGGAACTAATGTACACCTAAAAAATAGGAGTGGGACAGGCCCACGAATAAGTTCTATCCTACTACAATCCAAGCAGAGACTCGATATGCATATACATGCTAACCAACTCAACAATAACTAAATAGTCTGTAGATATAGATATATATATATATATATATATATATATATATTCACACTACAGGATTTTTGCTAGACTACAGGCCCGTCTAAACCTGACTAGTAGGAACCATGCAAAGCGCACCTGAAGTGGGCATGACTACCTAGACCTAGCAAGGTACACATCCAACCATCATTGTCAGCTATGCATCCCAATGCATATACACTCCCTAACCAACGGCTCTGAGATTCAGGCTCATATCGTGGTACCATAAAAATATATTTAAAATCCAATCTTATCCATCCATAAGAAATCCAGTTGGCCATTCAGCTTGTGCAGCTTCTTTGACTCAACATAGATAACAAGTAATCCAGCTAGTCATTCAGTTTATGCAGCTTCTTTGACTTAGCATAAATATAAGTAAGATTTATTTATAATCCATTCCCTTATTCCAATACAGGTTGGATTTAGTATTTTGAAACTAAACCATGCATGGTATGTCACCGTCCTATACCGGTGCATACAATCCAATTCATCCAGCAGTTGATAGAATA